ATTTTCATTATGTTTTCATAATTTGGACTTACATATATATTATTAAAACATGTGTGAGGTCCAGAGAGGACAGAGTAATGTTTATGCAGACCTGTGTGGCCCATCTGACTTCTGTGATCATAAATGTCACTGTAATGGTTTTTGATGTGATGTACTTGCGCTTTGGCTCCAGAGATTTATCCCAAAGCCTCCAAAACTTCATCACTCTTGAATTTCTCATCATCCCTCCAGTTATGAATCCTCTCATGTATGGATTTAAACTCACCAAAATACGAAACAGAATCTTGAGTTTAATTTATTTGAAAGGGAAATGATTTCCATTAAGGTTAGATTTCCTTATTTAAAATAATTCAAAAATATTCAAAACAGATGCAGCAATATAAATACAAGTCTTTCTGAAGACACATGATTCAGAAACATTTAGTCATGTTTGCCTTGTCTAAGGCAAACATATATTTGGACTAGACTAATTTTACTAATATTCTTTGTTATATTTATCATAATATGACATAAATTTGTCATGTGTCATATTTGCTCAATCCAGCACGAACATTAAATGAAAACAACATTTTTTTCATGTTTTTGACTAGGAATTTCATTTGAAAAGGATTCTGCATGAGTTTTTAAGTACTGTTGTAAAATTCATCTATATACCATTCAGAAATCATCACAAATTGACATTTCATTTCTTTGCCTTGCTGTGTCTTGATGTTCAAGGTATATTAGCTGATATATGTGCAAGTTAATTAAACAGGTTTATTTCAAAGTGTTTTAGGTTTAAAGTAAACAAAATATTGTATGAAATATTCTGTTGTAAAGGGCTGGTTAGTGCAGGAATCCCTGTGTGTTACATCTCAGTTTATCACAAAGGTCAGTTAACAACGCTTAATGTTTCTTTTTTTTTTTTCCTATAAACACGTTCCATATATAAATATAAGGATCAGTGTTATTAGGTTGTATTTTTTCAGTAGTATTTATTTATTTATATATAAAGGTTTTTTTTATTATTATTTTGGAAAAATAGTAATTGAACTGTTACCTACTTTTATTTTGCATTTTTTTTGTTTTTAAATTTATATGTAAATTTCTCTCTGTACATTAATTAATGACACCATAATTCTGTACTTTTTGAAATCTGATCATATATCCCCATTGCTTGACATACTGTAGTATTTACTACTTTAAAAATTAAAGTTTTGTTTAGCATATCAAGCATAAAATTGTGCTGTTGTTGTTTTTTGAAGTTTTTCAATCCCATATAAAAACCCCAACAAAAAACAATGCAATAATAGTATTTCAACAGTAACTCCCTTCTCTTCTACTCCTTCCTCGCCTTAACTAGGAAGGAGGCTCTCTCAGCTGGTGTGTTTCTCCAGGCTAACACCTTTCTGCTTTTTCTCCATCAATGTCCTGCTAACATCAAGTTGTGTGATATAAACATTCTGTCACGGCTGTCGAGGCGAGCCATGTGGTATTGACGGGAGAAAGGACCCAAATCGCAGGCAGTAGATGATAATGCTGGTGATGTTATATTTACACAGTGGTGAGATGACAAAACAGGCAAGAGGGAAGACAAAACTAAAGACCTAAACTGGGAAAGCTAAATGACAAACCTGAGAGGGTACCAGAATGGGGTGAGAGGCAGAGAGACACTGACAAGGGACAGGAACGCAGACTGACACGGCGTAACGCAGACGAACCGGCAACAGGCAGGAGAACACACAGGGCTTAAATACACACACCAGTAATCAGGGGATGAGAGACAGAAGGGCAACACAGCTGGGAGAAATCAGAGCTGACGGGACAGAGGAAACGTAAACTGAACACACTCACATCAGACAGAGACCTTCACAATAAGACAGGAAACTCAGACACAGGGAACCAAACAAGACACAGAACTAAACAGACAGATTCGCATAAAGACGGGGTGACACCATAGACAGACAGACCGAATATAACACATAGAACTCGAACAATAATAATCATCATAATAATAAACTAAAAGCGCTGGGTCACCGACCCAGGACCATGACAGTACCCCCCCTCAAGGGCTGGCACCAGACAGCCCAACACAAGAAAACGAAAGAAAAACACAAAAACCGCCCAAAACAGAAAACAACCCGAACAGGGCGGGCAGCGGGGGTCCAGGAAGGAGGGCTCGAAACAAAAAACCAAAGCACAAGAAAGTCCCAAAACAAAAGAGGAGTCCAAAAAAGAACAGTTCAGGGGGCCGGCCGTGCGGACGGCAACGGCGGCGACGTGGAAACAGTTCAGGGGGCCGGCCATGCGGACGGCAACGGCGGCGACGTGGAAACAGTTCAGGGGCCGTCTGTGCGGAAGGCAGCGGCGGCGATCCGGGGCCGGCCGTGCGGAAGGCAGCGGCGGCGATCCGGGGGCCGGCCGTGCGGAAGGCAGCGGCGGCGACTCAGGCGAAAGGGGTCCAGGGGCCGGCCGTGCGGAAGGCAGCGGAAGGCAGCGGAAGGCAGCGGAAGGCAGCGGCGGCGATTCAGGCGAAGGGGGTCTGGGGGCCGCCTACGATGGAGATGACGCCCGACCAGTGGCCTGGAAGGCGGCCAATAAACCACAGACCCAGACGAGGCTGGACCAGGCGACGCCGAAGGCGAAGACACGGAGGCTGGGCCAGACGAGGATGAAGCAGCTGAAGCGGAGGCTGGGCCAGACGAAGGCGAAGCGGAGGCTGGGCCAGACGAGGATGAAGCAGCTGAAGCGGAGGATGAAGCCGGAGCTGGCGACGCTGACGATGCTCCTCGGGCCCCCCAGCTGACGAGGCAGGAGGCTGGACGGGCTCCTCGGGCCCTCCAGCTGACGAGGCAGGAGGTTGGATGGGCTCCTCGGGCCCTCCAGCGAGAACAGTCTCAGGACCAGTGGGCACAGGGACCTCTGGCAGGCACAGAAGAGAACCAGCAGGTGCACAGGCCCCTGGCAGGGACAGAACAGAACCAGCAGGCGCACGGGCCCCTGGCAGGCACAGAACAGGACCAGCAGGTGCACGGGCCCCTGGCAGGGACAGAACAGGACCAGCAGGCGCACGGGCCTCTTGCTGGCACAGAACAGAACCAGCAGGTGCACGGGCCCCTGGCAGGGACAGAACAGAACCAGCAGGCGCACGGGCCTCTGGCAGGCACAGAACAGGACCAGCAGGTGCACGGGCCCCTGGCAGGGACAGAACAGAACCAGCAGGCACACGGGCCCCTGGCAGGCACAGAACAGGACCAGCAGGTGCACGGGCCCCTGGCAGGGACAGAACAGAACCAGCAGGCGCACGGGCCTCTGGCAGGCACATAGCAGGCTGCAGCTGCACAGAGCATTGACTCTGCTCAGGCAGCAATAGCCGGGTGCAGTCCTCAGCTGGCTTCTTAACCTCCAGGGATCCAGAGTCAGCTGGGGGCTGAAACCCAGCCTCAATGGAGGCCCTGGAGTGCATCTCAGTCTCAGAACTGGCCAGCCTTTGAGGAATGTTGACATTATTAGATTTGTCTCTCTGCTTGGAATGGATGGGCGAAAAACAGTGTTTTTCAGGTTGAATTGACTTGTATTGTTGTACAGGTGGAGAAACTGACACAGGATGCAGGGCTGGTGGCTGCTGAACAGGAGGCTGAACTGAGAGTGACTGACATAATGGTTGTGATGACAATGGTGGTGGAGTGAGAGACTGAATGGATGATAAGGCTGATGATTCTTCTGCCAACTGGGCTACTGACTGGGCTAGGGATTGCAACATAGTTTGCAGTAAGTCTGGCTGTGACTGTAACTGAGCTATGGGTGGTGAGGCTGAATGTGGTGGAGGTGGCGACTGAGCTTCTGGCCGGGCGGCTAACCGAGCTTCTAGTAGATAGTCTTTTTTATTTTCAGATTCCGGATTAAAAGTCCTGGTTAGTATAACACAGGACTCGGAAGAGGCAGAATGAAAGCAGTCCTTTAAATCCTCAGAGCATGTGTTAACGGACCTTGGAGTATCTGACAAAGAATTAACCGTTTCTGAATTAATCTTTTCACATTTGAATAAACCTGAGTTGACTGGCATTGAATTACTAGACTCAGGATCAACTGACAGAGTGGTCATGAATGCAAGCTCAGATGGAACAGAAAAAACACTGTGTTCCTGACTCACAGAATCTGCCGGTAACTGACGGCCGCGTGGACGTCGCTTCCACCTGGGAGAAGGGGCAAGAGCGGCAGGGGAAGCGGGCGGTGATATGAGCCAGCTCTGAAGTGGCTGCTCCTGCTGTGGGGTGGATAGGCTGGGTGGAATGAGGATGATTCCCAGTGCTTTGTAAAAAGCCTGGGCTGGTGTGAGCTGGCCACTGGGGGGCTGCATGTAAATGAAACAGTCACTCTCACTGACCCCGAGGGCTTGCTTGGCGAGCGAAGGATGACGGCGGCGTGACCGCCGTTTTGCCCGGAAGGAGGGAGAAGCCGACTGAACGGGCGGCATTTTGTCCGGCTGAGAGTCCTCTGGTGGACTGGGGAGAGGATCTTCCAGTAAGCCAGGCAGGTCAGCTGTCGCAGTTGGGGGGGTGAAGATGAAGTGTGTTGAGGATGAAGTCCTGTACGAGTGGGTGAAGTGAATCCAGCAGCCAGGGGTGATTGGAAACTAGCCGCTGTAGTCGGGCCTCCAGAGCATGACGAAGTTCCTCCCCCTCATGCTCTAGCCACAGATTAGTCCATCTTGAAACTGAATCGGTTAATTCCTCCCGAACCTCCTTGGAAGGTGCGAATGCCGCTGGGTCCATGTTTGGCCGGTTCGTACTGTCACGGCTGCCGAGGCGAGCCGTGTGGTATTGACGGGAGAAAGGACCCAAATCGCAGGCAGTAGATGATAATGCTGGTGATGTTATATTTACACAGTGGTGAGATGACAAAACAGGCAAGAGGGAAGACAAAACTAAAGACCTAAACTGGGAAAGCTAAATGACAAACCTGAGAGGGTACCAGAATGGGGTGAGAGGCAGAGAGACACGGACGAGGAACAGGACACCATGGACCACAGAGTAACGCAGACTGACACAGGGTAACGCAGACTGACACAGGGTAACGCAGACTGACACAGGGTAACGCAGACTGACACAGGGTAACGCAGACGAACCAGCAACAGGCAGGAGAACACACAGGGCTTAAATACACACACCAGTAATCAGGGGATGAGAGACAGAAGGGCAACACAGCTGGGAGAAATCAGAGCTGGCGGGACAGAGGAAACGTGAACTGAACACACTCACATCAGACAGAGACCTTCACAATAAGACAGGAAACTCAGACACAGGGAACCAAACAAGACACAGAACTAAACAGACAGATTCGCATAAAGACGGGGTGACACCATAGACAGACAGAGACACAGACCGGATATAACACATAGAACTCGAACAATAATCATCATCATAATAAACTAAAAGCGCTGGGTCACCGACCCAGGACCATGACACATTCAGAGAGTCTTGTATCTAAACTGGTTAATAATTAAACTTGCTTGTCCTGATGTTGACACCTTTAGAAAAAACATCAGTGCAAATGTAACACTTATTGTTTATCTGTGTCATTGGCTTTTTATAATTTGGACTTACATATATCTTATTAAAACATGTGTGAGGTCCAGAGAGGACAGGTTAAAGTTTACGTAGACCTGTGTGCCCCACCTGATCTCTTTGATGACTTTCCTGTTTTTTCTTGATCCAGTGTACATGATATCTGGCTCTACACGTTTACCTCAAAGCCTCCAAAACTTCATCACTATTGAATTTCTCATCATCCGTCCAGTTATGAATCTTCTCATATATGGATTTAAACTCACCAAAATACGAAACAGGATATTGGGTTTATTTTATTTTAAAAGAACTTCAAAATTAAGAGTTTTTTGTTCACCAAATAAAAATAGAGCAAAATAAAATTTCAAAAATGTACATTATTCTCTTGTACATGACAGCAAATGAAGGCCTCATAACATTAACTATAAATGCACCAAGACAACCAAGTCTCAGTAAAAAGCATTATTGTTTACTTAAATTTGATCTTTAGACTATCAAAGATCTAAAGACAACTAACACATATTTTACCTTTTAAAAATTTATCATTATTGTTTTTTGTTTTTTACATTTTTTCAGATGTAAACTAAAATGCATTTCCACTTCTGGTTTTAGGTTTAATCCAGGTCATCTTATCGTTTGAACTTAAGGTGTCATAATGCCATATCTCTAACACGTTCCATTAAGATGTAAATTGGTCAATTTATTGTCATTTACAGTAAATAGGTTTTTGTTTCTCAAGTAACAGACTCATATTTATATCCTTTTTTCAAGCATAAAATGTTTGAGTCTCAAGAGTGACGTGTTTACTGTGGCTCAAAGTTTAGCCAGTTTTTCGGGTGGCTCTGTAGTCTCGCTCATTGTACACTTATATCACAAGGCTAATTCAGAAAATATAACTGACATGATGATGTCTATATTTAACAGAATATCAGTTTCACAGTTTGCAAATTAATTCAAAGACAGGGGAAGAAAGAAGTGATTGCTTAGTAGGTTATAGATTCATGCTGCTTTAAAACTACCTTCTTTCCACAGAGCTGCTGTTAAAAAATAAAGGCCTGACAGTACTATATACACAGCAAGTGTGTTTTTGTTTATGAGTTGGCACCACACATTGTACAAGGTTCATGTTAGCACAGAATCCTGGGCCCTATGTATAAACAGTCTCTATATATGTGACACAATGTAATGTGTGGAAGGAAGAGAGGACTCAAACACAGGACTCGCAGGCTGGTGAAGGATGTGGATGATGTTTGTTGTGAAGCCAGGATGAACAGAACATGAGAAGACGGACTGACTATACCAATTGAATAAATGAATGAATGAGTGAGGGAGTGAGTGAGTGAATTAATAAATTAATGGTTGGCTGGCTGACTGGATGGACTGAACTGAAAACACACATGAGGAATGGACGGAATGACAAGACTGGGAACTGAGGGCTTAGATACACAGTGTGGAGTTGTGATATGATGTGATAACATTAGGTGGCTGCATTATAATGTGAATGTATAATATTGTTGTCAGGCCTCTGTGTAACTGTAGGAGAAAAATAGTTTGATAGAAACAGCATTAGAACAGAATAGAATAGAATAATCCTTTAATTGTCCCACAAGGGGAAATTTGGTTGTAACAGCAGCCAGAAAGACACATATAGAAACAAACAGGACACAGAACAGAAACATACACTCATCCCTGCTGGACAACCTCTCCCACCCCATGCAGGAGACTCTGACAGCACTGAGCAGCTCCTTCAGTGGCAGGCTGCGGCACACACGGTGTGAGACGGAGAGATTTCGCAGGTCTTTCCTCCTCACTGCTGTCAGACTCCACAACAAAGACTTTAACTGATCAAACACACACATCCACACACACTGAGTGCAATACTCTTTTTCTGACAAAGTTGTATTTTTACTCAGTTGTATAAAGCATTTGCATTCTATTTCTATCCTAATGTATATTTTATTCTATTTATTGTACTGTATATAGTATTTTATTTTATTCTATAATTAATGGGAGGTGAAGAGGGACAGCAGACATTAGTCAGGTACAGACGCAGCAGCTCAGTGCTCTGTTATGTTGTTATTTTAAAAAGGTAGATGTGCCCTCTGATCATGGATAATCAGTCTAATGAAAGAAGTTTTATTCTGTCAGGATTTAATGAGATAATGAATTTCACAGTACCCCTCTTCTCAGTTACTTTACTGTATTACTGTGTGATTTTGTTCTTCAATATTTCTCTTGTGCTGCTCATTGTCTTGGATGAAAGCCTCCATGAACCTATGTACATTTTACTGAGCAGCTTCTGCATTAATGCACTTTATGGAACCACAGGTTTCTACCCAAAATTCCTTTCAGATTTACTGTCGTCTTCTCACAGAATCTCCTATGAAGGGTGCCTTTTACAAGGTTTTATCATGTATTCATTTGCTTGCTGTGATTTGTCTATTTTAACTGTCATGGCCTTTGACAGGTATATGGCTATATGTCGACCTCTGCACTACTACTCTTTCATGACTAAGAGGAGGCTTTCACAGCTGGTGTGTTTCTCCTGGCTGACACCTTTCTGTGTTTTTGCCATTAATGTCCTGCTTACAGCAAGACTCAAGTTATGTGGTATAAAGATTCAGAGAGCCTTATGTCTAAACTGGTTAATTGTTCAACTTGCTTGTCCTGAAGCTGACACTTTTCCAAATAACATCAGTGCATATGTGATACTTGTCATTTATCTGTCTCATTGGCTTTTCATAATTTGGACTTACATATATATTATTAAAACATGTGTGAGGTCCAGAGAGGACAGAGTAAAGTTTACGCAGACCTGTGTGCCCCATCTGACTTCTGTGATCATAAATTTCACTGTACTGGCTTTTGATTCGATGTACTTGCGCTTTGGCTCCAGAGATTTACCCCAAAGCCTCAAAAACTTCATCGCTCTTGAATTTCTCATCATCCCTCCAGTTATGAATCCTCTCATATATGGATTTAAACTCAGCAAAATACGAAACAGAATCTTGAGTTTAATTTATTTGAAAGGGAAATGATTTGAATTCAAAAATATTCAAAACAGATGCAGCAATATAAATACAAGTCTTTCTGAAGGCACTTGATTCAGAAACATTTAGTCATGTTTGCCTTGTCTAAGGCAAACATATATTTGGACTAGACTAATTTTACTAATATTCTTTGTTATATTTGTCATAATATTACATATATTTGTTATATATGTCATATTTGCTCAATCCAGCACGAACGTTAAATGAAAACAACATTTTTTTCATTTTTTTGACTTCATTTTAAAAAGGATTCTGCATGAGTTTTTAAGTACTGTTGTAAAATTCATCTATATACCATTCAGAAATCATCACAAATTGACATTTCATTACCTTGCCTTGCTGTGTCTTCATGTTCAAGGTAGATTAGCTGATATATGTGCAAGTTGATTAAACAGGTTTATTTCAAAGTGTTTTAGGTTTAAAGTAAACAAAATATTGTATGAAATATTCTGTTGTAAAGGGCTGGTTAGTGCAGGCATCCCTGTGTGTTACATCTCAGTTTATCACAAAGGTCAGTTAACAATGCTTAATCTTTCTTTTTTTTCCTATAAACACGTTACATGTATAAATATAAGGATCACTGTTATTAGGCTGTATTTTTTCAGTAGTATTTATTTATTTATATAGTGTTTTTTTTATTATTATTTTGGAAAAATAGTAATAGTAATTGAACTGTTACCTACTTTTATTTGGCTTTTTTTTTGTTTCTAAATTTATATGTATATTTCTCTCTGTACATTAATTAATGACACCATAATTCTGTACTTTTTGAAATCTGATCATATATCCCCATTGCTTGACATACTGTAGTATTTACTACTTTAAAAATTAAAGTTTTGTTTAGCATATCAAGCATAAAATTGTGCTGTTGTTGTTTTTTTGAAGTTTTTCAATCCCATAGCATAAAATTAAAAAAAAAAACAACAACAACAAAAAACAATGCAATAATAGTATTTTAACAGTAACTCCCTTCTCTTCTACTCCTTCCTCGCCTTAACTAGGAAGGAGGCTCTCTCAGCTGGTGTGTTTCTCCTGGCTAACACCTTTCTGCCTTTTCTCCATCAATGTCCTGCTAACATCAAGACTCAAGTTGTGTGATATAAACATTCACAGAGTCTTGTATCTAAACTGGTTAATAATTAAACTTGCTTGTCCTGATGTTGACACCTTTAGAAAAAACATCAGTGCAAATGTAACACTTATTGTTTATCTGTGTCATTGGCTTTTTATAATTTGGACTTACATATATCTTATTAAAACATGTGCGAGGTCCAGAGAGGACAGGTTAATGTTTATGCAGACCTGTGTGCCCCACCTGATCTCTTTGATGACTTTCCTGTTTTTTCTTGATCCAGTGTACATGATATCTGGCTCTACACGTTTACCTCAAAGCCTCCAAAACTTCATCACTATTGAATTTCTCATCATCCCTCCAGTTATGAATCCTCTCATATATGGATTTAAACTCACCAAAATACGAAACAGGATATTGGGTTTATTTTATTTTAAAAGAACTTCAAAATTAAGACTTTCTTGTTCACCAAATAAAAATAGACCAAACTAAAATTTCAAAAATGTATATTATTATCTTGTACATGACAGCAAATGAAGGCATCATAACATTAACTATAAATGCACCAAGACAACCAAGTCTCAGTAAAAAGCATTATTGTTTACTTAAATTTGACCTTTAGACTATCAAAGATCTAGACAGCTTACACATATTTTACCTTTTAAAAATTATTGTTTTTTGTTTTTTGTTTTTTACATTTTTTCAGATGTAAACTAAAATGCATTTCCACTTCTGGTTTTAGCTTTAATCCAGGTCATCTTATCGTTTGAACTTAAGGTGTCATAATGCCATATCTCTAACACGTTCCATTAAGATGTAAATTGGTCAATTTATTGTCATTTACAGTAAATAGGTTTATGTTTCTCAAGTAACAGACTCATATTTATATCCTTTTTTCAAGCATAAAATGTCTGAGTCTCATGAGTGACGTGTTTACTGTGGCTCAAAGCTTAGCCAGTTTTTCGGGTGCCTCTGTAGTCTCGCTCATTGTACACTTATATCACAAGGCTAATTCAGAAAATGTAAATTAAATCAAATCAAATCACTTTTATTGTCACATCACATGTGCAGGTACATTGGTACAGCACATGTGAGTGAAATTCTTGTGTGCGAGCTTCACAAGCAACAGAGTTGTGCAAAATACAATAATGTAAACAAGCAAAATACAAGAATGGCTACATCTGAAACTAATAAATATATGTACAATATATAATAGTATATGCATTTTTGGATGTGTATACTAAATATTTTTCTACGTGTGTGTGTGTGTGTACACATATTTTACAAATTAAATAGAGTAAACAATAAATACAATATATAAAAATATACAAAGTTGAGACATGTGCAAAACAGTGGCATTACTGTACAGTATGGAGTGCATAATGTTAAAGTTCCAGTAGTGAAGCTGAGGTGTCTATGACGTGTTCAGCAGTCTGATGGCCTGGTGGAAGAAGCTGTCTCTCAGTCTGCTGGTACGGGACCGGATGCTGCAGAACCTCCTTCCTGATGGAAGTAGTCTGAACAGTTTATGGCTGAGGTGACTGGAGTCCTTGATGATCCTCCCCGCTTTCCTCAGGCAGCGCTTCCTGTAGATGTCTTGGAGGGAGGGAAGCTCACCTCCAATTATCCGTTCAGAGCACCGCACTACTCGCTGGAGAGCTTTGCAGTTGTAGGCGGTGCTGTTGCCATACCAGGTGGTGATGCATCCAGTGAGGATGCTCTCAATGGCACAGTGATAGAAGGTCCTGAGGATGTGGGGGCTCATGCCGAATCTTTTCAGTCTCCTGAGAAAGAAGAGGTGCTGCTGCGCCTTCTTCACTGTTTTGTTTGTGTGTACTGACCACGTAAGATCCTCAGCCAGATGTACACAAAGGAACCGGAAGCTGCTCACTCTCTCCACAGCAGCGCCGTTGATGGTGATGGGGGTGTGTACTTCTCTGCACCTCCGGAAGTCCACTATCAACTCCTTTGTCTTTGCGACGTTGAGGGTGAGATGGTTGTCTTGACACCAGTGGGTCAGGGCGTTGACCTCCTCCCTGTAAGCCGTCTCATCACCATTGGTGATAAGACCCACCACTGTAGTGTCGTCCGCAAACTTCACAATGATGTTGGAGTTGTTAGTGGCTGTGCAGTGTAGAGTGAGTACAGGAGAGGGCTCAGTACACACCCCTGTGGAGCACCAGTGTTCAGTGTGATGGGGGATGAGGTGATGCTGCCCAGTCTGACCACTTGGCGTCTGTCAGACAGGAAGCTAAGGATCCAGCTGCAGAGGGAGCTACTCAGTCCTAGATCCTGCAGTTTCCTGTCCAGCTTCGAGGGAACGATGGTATTGAATGCTGAGCTGTAATCTACAAACAGCATCCTCACATACGTGTCTCTCTTCTCCAGGTGTGACAGGGTAGTGTGTAGTGTCAGGGCTATGGCATCATCAGTGGACCGGTTGTGGCGGTACGCGAACTGTAGAGGGTCTAGTGAGTCGGGTAGTGCAGAGCAGATGAAGTCCCTGACCAGCTTCTCGAAGCATTTGCTCACGATGGGGGTCAGGGCTACAGGTCGCCAGTCGTTCAGTGAGGAGATGGTGGAGGATTTGGGTACAGGGACGACGGTGGCCATTTTGAAGCAGGCTGGGACTACAGACAGAGAGAGGGAAAGGTTGAAGATGTGCGTGAACACTCCAGCCAGCTGAGCCGCGCATGACTTGAGGATGCGGCCGGGAATCCCGTCCGAACCTGTAGCTTTGCGTGCATTCACCTTCCTGAAGCACTTCCGCACATCCTTCTCAGACACAGTGTGCGCACTGATGTCATCCGTGGTGCGCACACTGTTCGGTCTCATGGTGTTCGCTGTGTCGAATCTAGCGTAGAATACGTTTAGATCCTCACACAGAGAGGCCGTGGTCTGCGGTGTGCTGGTTTTCCCTCTAAAGTCTGTGATCGTGTTTAGTCTCTGCCACATACTCCGAGAGTTGTCAAACTGTTGCTCCACCCTGTCCCTGTACTCACGTTTGGCTGCTTTGATCGTCTTCCGGAGTTGGTAATGTGCGTGTTTGTAGTCCGATGTGTTCGCGGAGGCAAAGGCGGTGCTCCGTGCCGTGCGAACATCTCCGTTAATCCAGGGTTTTTGATTTGGGAAGGATTTAACTGTTCTGGATGGGACGACATCTTCCACGCATTTCCTGATAAATCCGCAGACTGAGTCTGTGTACTCATCAATGTCCCTAGCAGCCACGTGAAACATTTCCCAGTCCGCGTGATCAAAACAGTCCCGCAGCGCAGACTCTGATTGGTCCGTCCAACAGTGCACCGCCCTCCGGGTTGGAGCTTCCTGTTTCAGCTTCTGCCTGTAGGCGGGCAGGAGCAGGATGGAGCGGTGATCTGATTGGCCGAATGGGGCGTGGGGGAGGGCTTTGTACGCATCCCGGAAAGAGGTGTAGCAGTGGTCAAGTAGCTGGTCTCCATGAGTGTTAAAATGGATGTGTTGGTGGAGTTTGGGTGAGACTTTCTTCAGGTTTCCCTTATTAAAGTCTCCGGCTGTGATAAACGCTGCCTCTGGGTGTGCGGTTTCCTCGCTGCTGATCGTGCTGTACAGTTCCCTGAGTGCTCGGTCAGTGTCGGCTTGTGGGGGAATGTAAACAGGCGTAATAATCACTGCTGTAAATTCCCTCGGTAGCCAGAATGGCCGGCACTTAATCATCAGGTACTCCAGGTCCGGTGAGCAGAAGGATTTGACCGGGTGCACGTTCGCATAATCACACCAGCTGTTGTTGATCATGAAACATACACCACCCCCTCTGCTTTTCCCAGTAAGATCCTGTGACCTGTCCGTGCGATGCACGGAGAACCCCGGTAGTTGTATTGCGGAGTCCGGTACCTTGTCCGATAGCCAGGTTTCTGTGAGGCAGATCACGCAGCAGTCC